TTATGTCCTAGTCTTACTAAATATCAATATTGGTTTCATTCAATGAACCTTTTTCACAATCCCCTTTTTTTTTTCATATTAAATTGTATGCCACACTCCATCAAAAAATAAAAATAAAAATTGTATGCCACACATATGTTATCATGTTATTTTTTTAGTTTTTCTTTTTCCTTTTCTTTACAAGATGCGGTCATGAAGTATTTGAATTTTCAACAGGTTAAGTAACTTCTCAGTATTCAAATCAAATGTGTACAGCTCCATTTTCGCAGCTTCATAACTTTTTTTTTTTTTTTTGGGTTTAAATGGTAATGGTACTGTTGGATTAGATTGCAAATATGTGTCGAACTTCACAAAGTGGTTCGATAACCGTGCGCCTCATTGAGGAAGATGAAATATTTATCAAATTTGATAATCGATTTCTTAGTTGTTAACAACTAATAAAATTAAACTATTAACCATTACTCTTATAAAAATAAAAAAAAAAAGAAAAAAAAAAAGAAAAAAGGATTGCAAACACGTGTTAAAACTTCTTGCTTTTAGGATAATTTTCAGACCACACCTTTCACATCAACTAATACATTTAATAAAATTAAAATTTTTATGTATTAAATTTTAAATATAATTTATAAGACTATACTTATAATTTTTAAATTTAAAAAATAAAAGGCATCTAATTAATTAAATTCATAAAAAAAATAAGATAATTAGATTCTATTTAATGACGGTTAAGAGTTGCGTTAAAGATTGGACGAGAATAACCAGTGCTTTGTACAAAGGGAGGAAAAACAAAAATAATGCATTTATAAGCATAAGAAAAAGGTCTTGTTTGTTAGTCTGTATTCTCTGTATATTTGGGTATATTCCTGTGGAAAGTATATATGTACCTATCAGGACTTCATAAAGTATATACAAACAGCCAAAATTGAAAAATACAAAATACAAAATTGTGGCTTAATTAGCCCTCACACTTTGACCTTGACCAAACACTATACCCTTTATTATTTTTTTCTCTTTGTTTGGCGCTCCCAATTTTGAAACTATTCAATGAAATTGACATGGCTTCGAATTTAATAGATTCAATCACAGCTCATATCCAATCATTCACTCTCACCAAATTTCAGTAAACAAACTCCACTTGTATGCAAAGATAATATAATCACCCAAAATTAGTACACAAGAAAATGTGAGTGTCCCAAAGGCATATCTACACGTTTTCAAAGAGTCCTGCCAAACTAGTTGTTATCCCTGTTTTTTTCCTTTTCCTTTTCAAACCAAATTGAGTTTTGAATTTTACTGTTACTTTTCATCATACCCATAAACCTAAACTCCAATTTTTAAGTTGGAAGTTAGAAGAATGAGGGGACAAAGACAACGTATTCGGTGGAGGGAGGTTTCAATGCAGTTCTCAAAGGAAATGTCAAAAATCTTGTATGAGTTGCAGTTTGAACTTCCCTATCGATTACTGAAACAAGTTGTTGGATATAAGAATTTATATGAGTTAGCAATTAAACATGGGTTAGGATCTCAATACTTTTCTTGATATTTACATCAAGGTGTTTTTAAGCAATCTTAAGTATACATTCTAACATTGATCTAATGTATTTAAAAAATAATAATTTATTTAAATATTCATTCTAAAATTAATTAATTTCGAATTTAACATAAAAATAATATTTACTTATCAATAAATTAAATTATTAAAATTATCTGTAAAAGAATCTAAAATTTAGAACGAAAAGGGTTTCAATTAATTAATCCCATTTGGTTGTATTTAATCGTTCTTAGGGCAGTAATCCAATTATATTGATAGGGGATTCATTAGCAAGAAAGAATTGTTCCATTGGATATAGCCAGGGAGGTGACCGACTTCATCAACTTGGTTAAAAGCCATTGAATTTTCAACACAAGTTGTTTTTTTTTTTTTTTTTTGATAAATCAACACAAGTTGTTGCTAATCTATAGAAATATATATGTATTAAATCTCTTTGGAAAAGTCAGTGAGGTTAACCATTGCGTGTGCAGTTATTTTTCTTAAAACTAAGGGAGAAATGGTGCAGTTGTTAATTATAATTTCCTACCAAACTATAGTTCGAGACGTATTTGGATCAATTCTATTCAACTATTTTACACTGTCAATGTACCAAAAAAAA